TGGGAGCGGCGCTGGCGATCCAACGCCTCGCGCTGGGCGCGGACGAGTTCGGCGGCCCGAATCCCCCGACGTTGGGTTTGGACGGCGTGAAAAAACGTCCTTCGCGCGGCGTCGATCTCGTTTTGGACGGCCGCGTGGGTTTCGCGGGCGGCGCGCAGGGAGGCCTCCTTGCGCGCGATCTCCCCGTGCATGCGCTCGAGTTTCGCCCACACCGCGGGGGATAATTCGCGCCGGTCGCCCTGTAAAGCCTCGCCGTGGGTTCGCTTTGCGAGATACTTCATCGCGGCCGCCTTGGCCTCCGCTTCCAGCGCTTTGGATTCGTTCATTTTAGCCTCTAACAACTCGTAGTGGTGATGCATCGCGGCGTTCTGCTCCTTGACGAGAAGTCTGAGACGTTCGTAATTCTCGTCGAGCGATTTCGCCGCCCGTTGGGCGCCTTCGCATTCGTTTTGAATCGTTTTGAGCTCCGAGCGATTGGTTTCTAGGGCTTCGCGCCGTCCCATGAGTTCTTTTTCTACTTCATTGCGCTGTTTTTGCACAAGTTGGAGGGCCTCGTGCAAAACTGCCGCGCTCTCTTTCAAGTCTGCACACGCCTCGCGCTTTGCCTGCAGGTTTGCCGAAAGTTCCTCCACTTCCTCCTCTAGTCGACGATTGGAGGCATTTAAAAGATTAATCGGCCATGACATGAAATCTCTATGTTATAAAAGAAACAGTGGTGAAGAAATATTTCTTTCCTTTTATCCTTTTCGTTATATATATATATATATATATGTCTTATGTTGTGGGAATACCGCACTCAACGCACAAGAGTAGCAACAGGAGTGATTCAGAGAAGATAAGGTTTGGTGAGGGACATCATTACTATTTATATATTTATTTATTTATATATGACACATGTTCAGGAAATATCGAACCCCTCAAGATTAGAATGTGAAATATTCCACACTTTCACTACTACACCATTTCATGGCGATTTTAAAACAGGCAATTCACCCTCTTTGTTCTCTGTTAAACCATAAAATGCTTGCTTTCGCTGTATATACCTTTCTTTCCACGCATTGTATTCCTTCTCGTCGTTTGGGTAATCGGTATCATCGGGAATTTCTCCAAATTCATCCGCATCCATCATAGTCTCACTTTTTATTTCCAAATCATCTCCAAACGAGTGTTTAATGACTTTTGAAGAGCCAACTGCAAGTGCTGGAGGATCATTCGAGATACTTTTTCTGGGAAGGGTACTACGCTGCGAGGGGGATACGTAGCTAAACCCTAAATCCGAATCGTCAATACCGTCAATAAAGGAATTTTTATTTACTATTTGTGAAGATAGAGAGGTTTCCTTCACCATAGCTATGCTTTTGTTGTGCGATTTAGATGCAAGAAGTTCTTCAACCTCTTCCTCCTCTTCCGGTATAGCATCTTGCATGGGTAAGTACGCAATATATAGTATAATGTTTCTTTATCAAATTTTTACATAATTCCTTCCCCCTCAGTAAAAAAAAAAGAGGGAAATAGTGTTCAAATATGTTAATCAATCTCAGGATTTCAAAAGTCGTATAAAAAATGTAGCTTCGATCAAAAAGAAATAAAAAGCACCCTTTATGTGCAGTCGTCAAGGATTTTCTATTATTTATTCCTTCCAATGTGTATTAATTCGGAAAAGGTATTCATAAAGGGAGTAATTTAAATTCACACATGACATGCACAAAGGGAAAAATAATCCCAGACGTAATGTCATACATAAAATGGAAATATTTGAACTAATAAAATATATGATTTTCTTAGAAGCAATTTTTTTCACGGCGGATCTTATGGTTCGTATTTTGAGCAAAGACTCATGATCTCACTAGAATTAAGAAAAATAACGAAATAAAAAAAGAAAAAGGAGAGAAAACCTCTTATATATACCCCAATGTTAGTTTAATTGTAGATTTATCGACTCCGCGCGAGGGGGGTTTACCACGGGATGGATTCTTTCTGATGAAAAAACCCCCCAGTTGGCCCGTCGGCCCCCAACGTCGCCAAATACACGCTCGTTTCCGCCCCCTGATCGGGTAAAAGCGGCGCCTCGTCGGTATTCAACGACATATCCGTGCGGACATAACCTGGATAGCAGCAATTCACCTTCGCCTTCTTCGCCCCGGCCTCTTCGCAGTGGCGTTGGAGGTAAATGGCGAGGTTGTGGGCGTACATATTCAACGCGGATTTCGAGCATTTGTACGACGTCATCGTGGGATGGCCGTAGCGATTGGTGGGGTTGTCCGTCGTGCGATGCGAGGCGAGCGGGGTGGAGACAAACACCACCCGCGGCCCGTCCGGGGCCCGCAAAAGCAGCGGGAGAAATTCATTCGTCAGCTCCACCGTCGCGAAGTAATTGACCTCCATTTCGTGTCGATGGCGGGTTAAATCTATGGGGAGGATGTGGTTGTCGAAGTCGAAAATCGCGGCGTTGTTGACGAGGACATCCAGTCGTTGGTAGCGCGAGGTCACCTCGTTCACAGCGGAGGTGATGGTCGAGCGGTTCTCAAGGTCGATTACCACGAGGTGCGCATCCAGGTTGCTCTCCTTCAGCTTCGCCACCGCGCTCATCCCTCGTTCCGGATTTCGAGCCCCCACAAGGACTTTGTACCCCAACTCCGCCAATTTATTTGCGGTGGAGAATCCAATGCCTTTATTCGCACCGGTAATAAGGGCAACTTTCTTTTCCATTTTTTTTTCTTAGCTTTTCACTTGAATTTTCGTTCTCAAGGGTTTAATTTTCCTAAACATCAAACGCACAAAATATTATTAACATGAAAAAAGGAGGAGGTGATAGTATGTTATAGAAACACTAAGGGAGGATAAGCTCGATCGTACTGTGCATATGGATAGCCAGTTATATATTTGTTACAGTTCATGCTGCTTTATTGGAGATTATTATCAATGCAAATACACATTTATTTTTCTTAAGCCCAGAAAGGTTGTTTCACAAATATGTGTTATACCACCCTATTGAATATATAAAAGATTTTATATTAAATATTCCTAGTCGAGCATTCTAATACTTCAACCAGTTAGATACAAACGCTAATTTCCATTACATCTAGGTTCTTTGTCTTTAAAGTTCATTGTGGTCACCCAGCACTTCAAACATCGGATTGGTGTTCTCGATACCAACATTCATAATCCAACTTTTAAAATCAGCAACTTTACTATTTTCCATAATGTCCATCACAAAGGTGAGTGATGAACATTTGCTACGAATGGAGGGCGTAAGACAGTAATCGACAAGCTTTTGGAAAATGTGTTTCCCAGCATCGTAGTATACACCCGTATAAGACGTTTTTAAAATTAATTCTGGTCGCTTTTTTAGCTTATGCGATAAATTCTTCCCATGCTGCATAAGAAGTGATTCAACCGCCAATGCCAAAGTTGAACACACGGAAGTATAGGGCTCACTCGTGGCATCTTCTCCCCTTTTTTTCACAATTTCCATGCACGTCTCCTTTGTTGTATTTCCCCATGTTTCCCAAAAGCTTGTACTTGGTATTTCGCGTTTTTCTACCCCTGTAACAGGCTTCTTGTCCCGGTTTTCAAAGGCAATCTTAACAAAATCATCTTTTTCTTGGCACCCCACGCATTTCAAATTCCTATCACTGAGAAATTCACGCAATTCTTTCATTTTCTTTTTTTTGAATGATTCCCTGGTGAGGTCATCGCCACAGGCTATACAGACCATTGTTGCTAAAATGAAGCAAAAAATGATAGCCTTGTTCATCCTTTCAAGATTATTCAAGCTGTTCTATAAGTGTTAAGGATATAGAGAAATATATATATATATAAATAAAATAATAATACAGTTCCACCTAAACACAAACGAACAATGATACTTATTCACTATAGTTATTTTAATAATTTAACAGATGGTAAATTATATTCTTAAATTTTAAACGATCATTTACCACGTCAATTTAATGGTCCTTATGACGTTAAATTTATATGTTATCTTTACCAATTTACTTTACTCACTATCATCATCCGGTCGAGGGCGCTTTGTACTATCAAGAAGAGTGTTCTTGCGACGTCGATATATATCATCAAAAACTTGTTTAGATATACCTTCAAATTCCTCTTGAGCAAAATATGAAGAATTTGCTTCTAAAAGCCATTCTTCAGACACCGCCGTGATCGTTCGAATATATGTATTGGCAGTTAATACAAGTTCGTTAAAAACGACAAATTTAGGCCGCCGATTTAGAAAGGTTGAAGGAAAAAGCAAGCACTTAACGTCATCCTTTAAGGTGAGAAACTGATTTTTAGTTGGTAGAGACATCGCTATTTTTGTAAAGTACCCCTTTACAATTGCTCTGCGAATTTCATTGGCGAACTCGAGATTCGCATTTTTTTCACTAGAGTTATTTTGTACTTTTCGCCACTCCGAGGTGTATGTGCTACAAATATCAAGTCCGATCCTTTTCATAATACTAGAAAGTTGGCGATAAATATTTACTGCCTGTTTCATTACTCGAGGGTTAATAAAGTTTTCTTTACACCACGTAGAGTTTTGTCGATTTCGTTCGTAATAGCTATTAAATACATTAAGAAGCGCCAAGTGATCACCAGTTTGATGATAAAACTGATTTTTAGAGTTCAGTGCATACCCTCTCTGATTGTTAGAAGGTGTGATAAAGGGAGTTTGTACCGATAACATGGCACATATGCGCGCAATATCATCAGAGCATCCATATTTCGGACTGTTGTAGAGCATTGATGCCATTTCAGGTTCTACTGGGAACTCTGAAATTTGGTTCCCGATTGAAGTCAAGCTTCCGTCATCATCTAATGCACCAATATAATTTAGCAGTTCAAGTGCTCGCATTAGTGTTTCAGGCGCTGGTGGTTCTACAAAATCAAAGTTGACTAAGTCTTCAATTCCCATTTTTTTCATATTAAGAACAATGGAACCTAAATTGCAGCGTAAAATCTCTGGATAAGTGTTTGGTTGCAGTGCATTTTCGAAGGAATTAATCTTGTAAAGCCGAAAGCATTTTCCAGGTTTTGTACGCCCTGCTCTACCAGAGCGCTGTTGAGCGCTTGCCTGACTTATTGGAGTAACAAGTAGAGATTCAACACGCAATTTTGGATTAAACACTTTTTGCTTGGAGAAGCCACAATCGATCACGAATACTATGCCATCAATGGTCAAGGAAGTTTCAGCAACGTTTGTTGCTACAACAATTTTTCTTGTACCCTTGGGATTGGGTAGAAAGACTTTCCGCTGCTGCGATGGTGGAAGGGCAGAATATAAAGGTAAAACGTTAACAGGTCCATGGTGGCAATTTGCACTACTATGTTCTGACATTTGTATGCCGTTTTGAAGTCTTTCTACCGTAGTTTCAATTTCATCTTCACCTGTTAAAAAAATCAGAATATCACCCTCTCCTTCATAAAGGTGAATTTGTGTTGCAGTTCGAATAGCGGCTTCTACGTAATTAGCTTCTGGAGCACGAGTGAAATACATTTTTACACCGAACATACGTCCCGATACGTGAACAAGTGGAGCATCTGGAAAATATTGTTGAAAGCGTTTTTCCTCTAGTGTAGCAGACATAACGATTACACGAAGATCTGGCCGTTTAGGTAATAGTTGTTTTATAACTCCGACCAAAATATCTGTTGAAACTGTGCGTTCATGAGCTTCATCCAAAACAATAACACTGTATTTACTCAAAAGAGAATCAATCATAACTTCACGAAGTAACATACCATCTGTAAGATACTTCAAGCGAGTTTTTTCAGAGCTCATGTCATCAAAACGAATCGAATAACCAACTTCTTCTCCTAGTTTGACATCCATTTCATCAGCAACACGTTCAGATACACTAGTAGCCGCAACTCGACGCGGCTGCGTGCAAGCTATTCCGCGTTCTGGATTCATTTCGAGCACAAACTGGGGAACTTGGGTTGTTTTCCCACTGCCAGTTTCACCAACAAGCAATATGGTCTGATAGCGTTGGACAAGCTTTTGAATACTTTCTTTGGCTTCATAAATGGGCAAATTTTTTCTCACTTGAAATATATCATAATATCTTTCACTATACTTTTCTCCTGTGAGATAGTTTCTGTCATCGCCATTTTTGAGATGCATATCTTTTTTCTGTATGTAAATTTAATGAAGTCCTTTCATATGTAGATTTAAATGATAGGGTACAATTATCATTTAAGTTCAATTATAGAACATCATAATGATTTTAGTTTGTGATTATATAGAATTTTTTTTTCGAAAATAGTTACAGCAGAGGAGATCGCATAAAATAAAATAATGAAAATAAAATAAGAAAATAAAAATAATATATCTAAACGAAAAAATAAAATTTATTTAGCATTCCATGCAGCGTTGTGAACCAAGAGAATCATACTTTGAAGTTCGATAAGTCTGCCTTCGTCCTTCCTAACTAATTCTCTTAGATTCCAGTAGGCGCGAATAACTTCTTCAATGGAAACGTCATCTAATTTAGTGCTATGAACATTGTCAGCTGCAATTATTGTTTTATTATTCCCGTCAATGCGGATGAGATTCATGACATAGCAGAAGATTTTTATTAACTTGTGGAAAACTTAAATAGTATTATGTTACCTTGGTAAAGTGATACTAAGTGGAGAAAAAAAATTATATATCCAAGCAACGGAAAGATGTCGTATATTGACTACAGATGTGGAGTTTTTTATAAGTCTGTAGGAGATTTTTTGAGATGATTCTTGTACATTAATATGATACATCCGAAAATTAAAAAATATATTCGTTTGAAAAATACACCAAACATGTATTTTAAAATTGCGATCAACAAGTGTGTCTCTGAATTCATTTCTTCATTTGGTTTTTATTAAGGGATTGACCAAAAACTTAATGCTTCTAAAGAAAGTGTATTCGAGTTTCCCCTTTCGAAACTTAGGTTGCGTGTAAATGTTAATTTCGGCGTGTGCCTATTTTTAGGGCAAAGTTAAATAAATTCAATAATATCAATGAAAAATCGCTGCTTTTGATGTGCTTTTGGTCTGCGGTATTTTTGGGGCCGCGTTAAGGGATTCTCGGGAAAAATGCTTTCAACCATGCTTGAAAATTCCGAATTGCTCCTTTTTTTTTGAACAAAAAATTCAGATGCATTTTCAGGGACCCCTTTTGGCGCATACCGTTGGAAATTAAATTTGAATAGGGGCGCTTCCTATTTTTATATAACTTGCGCCGAATAAATCCCAGACACGCGTGAAGACGGCGCCGAGTTTTCCCTGAAAAAAATTTGCACCCCCCCCTCCCCGAAGTAATAAATTGCCCTTGCTTTGGCGCAATGGATTTTTATATTGAACGGCGTTGAAGGCATGCCACGGATTGGAAACTTTCGGGCCCAATAAACCTTTACCATGCGTTTATTTATGGTGTTTCTGAAAACTGCCTTTTTTTTAGCGCGGGGTGTGGGGGGTTTCAAAAGACGGGGGGGGGGGGGCCTTTATCCGCGTTTGGTGAAATACAAAAGGCCGTTGTTGGATCTCCTTGGGAACGCGTTTTGGTTTAAGGTGATCCTGGAGAGTTCTTTTTATTTTCTTAATGCCGGGGACTGAAATACATCCCGGTTAAAAATGCGTTGTTTGCCAAGGGGGTTTTGTGAACGAGAGGTTCCCCGGGTGAGACCCATCACAAAGAATTCCTTGGGGGGAAAAATGGGAAATCTTTTTTTTCTAACAGGTGGGGATTTTTTCTTTTCCAAACTCAATATTTTTCACATTTTTTTTCAAAGGGGGTCCTCGGGAAGTATTTGCCATTTGGCGCCCCTAGGGTTGTTTCTTTTTATTTTATTTGTGGGGGGCTTGGGTCCTTTTAAGGGACCCTGGGAAAATGATAACAACGAAAGGCCTCAAGGGAATTCTAATTTTGAAGAATGCGTAAACACCTAGGGGGCCATGTTCCAGAGTCAAAAAGCACATATTTTAATGGGGCGGATTTTTCGCGAGAGCGCTAAAGCGTGATGGTGAAAGTTTTTCCACTTGGCCGCGAAACTTCAAACTTCCTATCGCTGGAATGGGGTGGTGGCAATGGAAAGGGGGTTGGCTTAAACCAAGCAAACCGCTGAACCGGTGGATGCGAAAACCCTTTCGCGACGCGATGGGGGTTGACCTTCGGAAAAGATGGGGGGATTCGTATATCATCACCCCTGAAAAAAAGCAGCCCCTCGTTGCCTGTAAGCGGGGGGGCGGTGAAATCGTCTCAGGCTCACCAATTGCGTTTTTTTAGTATTTTTCTAGACTTTTATTGGTCTTAGGGTGGGCGCTCATTATTTAGGGTTGCTCTAAAAGTAACTGAATGTTTTGTTTGGGATATTGCCGTGTTTCGTTGGCTTGGAAATCTCTCTGTGAGCTTTTTTTTGGCAATTGTATCGTGATAACTGCCGTGTTGGTCGATCAGGGTTGGCCTTTTCGTGGGAAGCGGGTGCTCATATCAATTGCCAGAGGTCACGCCCAAGTCGGAAGTTTTCCTGGGGAGAGGTCCTCCTTTCTATGGCGCGGGCATCGCAGAACTGTTTTATTCCCGAACAGCCAATTGGAATCAGTAAAAAGTAATCTGAAGGTCACCTGCGCAACGGTTTCCACACAACAGACTGACGTTTTTTTTTCACGTTTTTATGAGGCCCAGCGTTTGTACGCAGGACGAATTTTCCATCTGGCTTCACACAAAGGTTTATAAAGTGGGTTATGGATTTTCCATTTCTTGACTTAAGGGATCGAGTCTCAAGCACCATTTTGCGCCCTAGAACCAACCGCGGCACCGTATAGACAATATGTTGCCGCTAAAAGAGTCGAGGTCAGACCTGCCAGAAGGGCAAATGTACATACATAAACATAAGATCTTTAATTGCAACTTTTCCTAATATTTCCGTAAAGAAAATGTTTTTTCTTTTATTCACTAGTGAAATATTAATTTCTACTTTTGTTTCATGGCGAATACGGGCAATAAGTGCCCATCTTTTATTCAGGCAAATATATAAAAAGGAAAAATATGATTATGGACGGAGGCATATCATAAAATCTCTTTGTGTTGCAACCAATTTTGATACACTCTATACTTTCCGATAACCTGCTAAAACGGTTTATATAATTTCCAATAAACTATAACAACCTGTTTGAAATATTTATTAAAAAAAAAATGAGATGACATATATTTATATTTTCACTTTTATTCTTACTGCTTTTTTTTAGATGAGAAGGTGTTTGAACTTTTTGTCTGGTACAGTGCAAATCCTTGGGGTTACTGTAAAATTATAAATAATTAGGGAACATAATACTCATGATCCTTTTTTTTGATGTTTCTGTTTAGAGCATTCTTGAAAAGTAGGTACGAATTATATGATTCTAGATAGACTAATATTATTACTTATCAAGATAATCGCAACTTCAGCACTTAAAACAATTTTTTTTGATCCAGCATCTATCATTATGTGATGATGAATGAGCTGATTCCCTCCTCAAACCGTTTTTCCATAAGAATTTGTTTTAACATTTTTATTTTCTCAGCTTGTTGAGTCAATACAACTATGATGGATTGATTTGGGTCTGCGGCAGACGAAAGAATTGTTTTCACTGTGGATTCATCCATTTCCACTTCTTCAGTCCACTTTGGTGGTGGGTTGTCGAGTGCGAACAGACACTCCACCCTCTCGCGGCAGAGATCGTTCAAAATACCCAGATGACTCATTTCAGTTATTTCTTTCGTGGCATACAAAAGCCGAACATTATCCAGCTTTTCCCGTAACGGGTGCAGCAAAGACGCTCGCAGCAGCTGCAGCATAGGGTTGACCCTCTCCGGGGCTGCGGCAATGATGACGAGATTCGTCCCACTTTCCTTGTTGAGTTGGCTGAGGCGGTTGTGGAGAGTGTGGATCGGGGCTTCGATCGGCCCCGCTTGCAGTTCCACTTCGTCCCCGGGTTGTAGGGCGTAGACCCAGGCCGGTGCCGCCTCCCCGGGTGGTGTGGGGGATGGCAAGGGTATAGACACCGTCCCCAGCTCCTCCGGGAGGGTCAGGGGCACCCCTCGGAAGGGCGGCAGCGCCCCGGAGCCCGGGGAGGCGGGCCGTACCACAAGGGGCTGAAGCAGCGCCAGCCCGCTGGTGTGGAATGGGCTTGGGAGGGTGATCACAAGTTGATAGCCCCTATCTGGCCTGGTTCCCACCTCGCCCGAGGTGAGGCCGTCCGGTAGGAGAAGTTGGGCCCTCCCTCGCGTCCAACTCGCGGACGTTGTGGCGGGATTCCCTCGGAAGCTTCCCGGATCTTGCGCAGGGAGGACCTCCAAGGCAGCCTGCGCGGCGCGTTCGCCGGCGATCCTGCCGAAAACGACGCACTCCAGCAGGGAATTTCCGCCGAGGCGGTTTCCACCATGCACTCCACCGGTGACCTCGCCGGCGCCGAATAACCCCAAAATAGGACGGGGCCCCCCGGAAGGATTCGTCGGATCCACACGGAGAATCTCCGCCGAAGGTGAAATCAGACAGCCACCCATTGTGTAGTGAATGGATGGGGTGACATGGGTGACGTAAAACGGACCATGCGGCCCCAGAACGCATGGGAAGACATTCTTGCCGGTGAGCCTGCACGTCCCGTTGGACGAGCTGAGATCGTTGTAGTGCCGCAGAGTCTGAAGCAGGGTAGACTCCTCGCACCCGATGAGCTCCGCCAAATCGTGGACATTCTCCACAAAGTGAAAAAGACCCATCTTTTTCCAGTAAAATTCGAGAGCGCCTTTACCGAAGAGCTCCATAGCATCTTTGTTGAGAACGCAATAAGCGAATCTGCGGCCCTGCGAGTTCGGGTACTCGTCGCCTTGGGCGATGATGGCTTGGGATACGACGGAGCGCAGGCCAAGCTCATTGACAAAGCGCTCGCCTTTTTTGTTCAACAGAATGCCCCCAGACCCACGGAGCGCCTCCGGCCCGAGAAAAAGCGTCTTCGCCTGCGGGTCCTTCGGGTTAATCATCCCGGTAGGGTGGAGCTGCACTTTATCCATATCCACCAGCTCGGCCCCGAGCTCCCGGGCTGCTTTGACGCCATCCCCAGTAGCCCAGACCCCGTTCGTGGTGGGGAAGTTCAGGAGGTTTGGCGCGTATTCGTGCAGGAGTGAGGTGGTAGTGTGGTCGTTTGCGAACCCTCCGGTGGCGAGGACGACGGCGTTTGTGGCCACCTGAAACTTTTCCTCGCCCGCGTTTGGTGTGGTCCGATGATACTCCACACCCCGGATCACCCTCGCGCGCTCCCCGGTTGGCAACACCACGGATTCGTACACCAGCCGCGAAAGGCGGGCGGTCGTTTCGACCTTCACGAGGTCCTGAAGCTCGCCGCGGAGGTGGGTTTCCAGCCCCCGCATGATGGTGAAGCCGACGGGGACGGGGGTGCCGTCCTCGCGATCGGGCACGCGGTGGGTTCGTTTGCAGCGATGCCCGCCAAGCTGTGTGAGCCTCGTCAGGACGATCCCCCAGCGCGTTAACCACCTCACGGCATCCGCGCTTTTCACGGAGAGCATCGCGACCAGCCCCGCCTGACAATGGCCATTGCGGCCGGACAAATAGGTATCGCGCTCGAAGTACTTACCCTTGTCCCGAATCCCCTCACCCACCTGGGCATCGGTCCCCCAACCGTTGATCCCCGATGTCGCCTTGGCGCTGTTCCCACCCAGCCTGGGCTCTTTTTCGAGAACAATCACGCGCGCACCCCGCTCCGCGGCCTCGATCGCGGCGGCGCAGCCCGCCAGCCCTCCCCCAACCACCACCACCACCGCGTTGGGGTTATCGGGGTTGGGCTGTGCGACCGGCGGTGTGCGGGTCTCGCGCTCGCGGTCCGCCCTTCCGGGGCTCTGCTGCGGCAGGCCTTCGTTTGGGGGTTTGATTTGCGTGATCATGGGGTGACTTTTAGGACGCACTGACGGGTTGGAATAGGAGGAATTCCCCTTGGATTCGTGGGGCGAGAGCCAATTCGTCAACCAGCACAGGGACAACCCAACCACTGATAAGAAAAAGACTAACTTGTAGAGACTTGAACGTCTGACTAATTTTTGTTTAGTGCCTATCGCAAATCTTTTAACCAACGATGCGTTTGATTTCGAGGCTTTTAATTGTTTAGCATTAGGATGCAATAATGGGGATACATAGCCAGATGCAGCTTCTTTTTTTAGTGATGTCTCCCGAAATGAGGGCATATGATTTTTTTTAGTGTTTTATTTACTAATAAATGAAACGTCGAATATTTCTAAAATAATAAGGTTACCTTATCACTTGTTATCATCCAAATAGAAGACGAAAAGGAAATCAAAAAGACTTGATCCCATTTCTCTTCAGCAATTCACGGTGGAAGTATACTTTCGTGATTCTCGGTCTTTATTTAAAACTATCTTTTTTTCTTTATTCAGACCCAACTGATCCTGCTCTCGTTGCGATGATATATCAAGTCTTAACGTGTCCCATATAAAGATTGAAAAACAAGTCGCTTAGCTTAGCGCAACAGGACACGATACTGAAGGAGAGAAACGAAATACAGAGAGTATTGTGAGGAGACTCATTACCAATATAGTTAACCATATTCAAGAAGAGCACGGAATATATCAGGTAAAGTAATATTAGTTATTTTTGTGATGTAGTTGACCACCCCATTTTTCAAGCAGCATTAGGTCCAAAGAGGGTGTCGCTGAACACCGGACGGATGACCGTGACAGAACATAGACGTTGGTATGCTTGTTTGGCTGTCGTTCCCCTTTTCAAAGGGAAAATTTTTAAGACTGTCTGGACGAAGCTGCGTTTGGGCCATTGCCTGATGGGTATATGTAAAAGCTGTCTATAAAGGTGCAATGCCCACGTGTAGCACAGCAGAAAAGGGTACCTTCTTGATATCGACTGGTACTCTAGATGCATCTATTGACCCTTTGCACAAAATGTTTCATTTCCATATATATTATATATATTCTAAGGTAGATCCATTTTGTTTAACCATTTGCGCACCCTTTTAGTATCATGATGACCGAAAAGGTAAGGAAGATGAGATGGGATTAAGTGCGATCGATTGAGCCTCCGAGATGTCCATATTGAATTCAGTGCCGGTATCTTTCCCTGTAATAGGGTCTAGGCCTGTGGCTTCTCCTAGGAATTTGGTGAGGTGTTGTCCTGTCAGAAATTGGTCACCCAACTTCGTGTCTTCGGCTTCCCCAGGCAGGTCTGGTGAGAGGGGCATTCCTTCCAAAAGTTTTGCCACTGTGGTGTACGCATTCGCGCGCAATCCTTCACCGACACGAAGCTGTCCGGAACTACGCGTTGTATCAATGTAATATTTTGAGGCCTCTTGAATAGCCAAGGCAGTAAACTCCGGTGCGATATCACGTTGTATTTCGAGAGCCGCGCGAAAGGTTGCGATGCGGCGCAACTCATTTCCGCTGCTGCGATCATGCTCCATCCAACGGCGCAGGAGTAGGTTATATTGCTTTCCCCACTCGTAGTAACCGTCGCGAAAATGCAACACATTAAGATAGCCCATCCAGCTTAAAATTTGCGCAGCCATCAGTGAGCGAGGACCGTACTGGCAGTAGCAAATGATCGTCTGTTCCGGACTGGGTTTTGTAAAGCCGTATTCTTCTAAAAAATCTTCTGGAGTAGCATGAAAAGCCTCAAAGAGCTCATGCACTGGAAGCACTTTTGCACCTTCTATAATTCCCCATGATGTGATTTCATTCACAGTTCGACAATCTAGTAAAATAAACCCATCATCGTACTCTGGTCGAGTTGTGTGCAATATATCCACTTCGTTTGAGGTAAACTGAGAGAGCACGCTTTCTGACGCCATTACATTATCCTGGATATCAGTTGCCACCAATGCTGTTTCACCACTATTGATGAAACCACTCTTCCAAAAACCCAAACCACCCACGCGGGGCATACTTACTGCCTCTGTGATTGTCTTCACTTCTTTCTTACTAAGTTCTTCAACACGTGCCTTGATTACGGCTTTGCGCTTCAGGAAAGCATCCCGATGAATTGTGCGACATCGAGTAAGGTTCGCAATAAACTCACAGTCTACTTGAGGGATTGAGCGATCCAGATCAGTGAGAGTGGGTTCAGGCCATTGCAAACCCTCGCCGGCATCACTATTGTTGTTAGCATCCTCGTCGGGAATCCCCATGGATGAAGCGGAGGACATTGCGTTGCTTGGTATGGTAGAACAAATAATGTCTCCAACTTTGATTTCCGATTTTTCACAGGGATCTAGTGAGCTGTTCAGCTTTGCGACGTTTTTTGTATCCATTACATCCTGAAATTTTCTTTCAAGAAGTTTCGTGTCACTTTTGAGGAATTCTAATTCCCTACTCGAAACTTGGTTTGTAATCCTTGTCAAACCACTTGAAGGTGGAGAGGGTTGATTGAACTTATCATTACTATTTCCATTGTGACACGCCGTGGAGTGAAAAAACCGGACTTGTCGGATAGCAGTTCGGTGTAGACACAGAAGCGTTCCAGCATAAGGAGTGTTCTTGGTGTCACTAAAGCAACAGCAGTGCGAGAAATGGAAGTAACGAATTAAAGAAAAAAAGTGAGGAACTGAGACCAACTTCGAAAAAGTAGATGTCCTTGACATGAAGTAAAGGCAATTTATTCGTAAAAAAAGCTAGTATAACGATAGAAGGAAGGCAAACTCCCAAATATTGTAAACAATGTTAAATAAACTTGATTAGATTCTAAAAAAGGAAGAAAATAATAAGACATACGAAGGAAGATATAAAAGAGTAGCCATCTTCTTTTTAGAGTAAAAAAGTGGATTCAAAGCTGAAAATAACAACATCAAGATAAAATTCAATAAAAAATATGTAAAAATAACAAAAATTTAATTAATAGTAGAAATATTAAGAAAAAATAAAAATGATTTGATAGCTAATAACATCATTCACTCAAACACCTGCTCAGGTTGATCGCACGCCTGTTGAAGCCACCTAACTACCTAAGCTTCACAGCTGTTGCCAGCATGTCTTGGATAGGCTTTGCAGGTGGGTACTGCCCAGAACAGCTCCAAGACCCAGGCGGATAGCACACGCGATTTGCCGGATCTGCTATCCAACGCTTGCTCTTTTTGCTCACGTTGAGCACCTCGAAGATTCGTACGAGGTTGTATTTCGATCGGTACACCTCGCGAAACAAGCTTTGGTTAAGCTCCACACCGCCTACGCCGTGTTCATGCATGTTATATAGGAAGGACTGCCGCAGCATCTTGGGTGGAGTCCGAGAGTTATCACGAAACATGAAATTTGAACATTGCGGGTCATTGGGACAGACATCGGGATACACGCTGTTGCCAATCCTCGCCATATGTATCGACTTTCCGATATCGCCATTACTTCCGGTCCAAATTAATACGTAGTCTGCCATATGCCGTGCTAGCGAGTGCGCTTTTTCCACTGATGACATCATAATCTTACCTATGAGCGCGATGTGCTCGTGGTTCCAGGTGTTACCGTCGGCCAGCGTGGTTCGGTTGCCGATACCAGTGATTTGATAGCCGTAGTCCCACCAGGCCAGAAAACGTGCGTCTTGAGGGGTGTTTGCTTTCATCCACATGTACGATTGGTAGTAGTCATCAACGAGTACGTCTTGGCCATTATTGAGTTGAGCTGGAAACACGATAGAAGGACTAGAAAATCCATATGCAAATTTAATGCAATGTTTATTATAGTCGCTTGTTGTGTATCCCAACAACATCAGGATGAACAACAGCCACGCCATCACTGTTAGAAAGTGGTGATGTTGCGTGGTATGCGTAAAAATCATTGAGGTAAAGATACCGCCATTACCGTTTTTTTTTTGTCGTTGTGTGTAATTTCTTTCTTCTTTGTGTTTGTCTTGAATAGCGTTTTCCTTTTGTCTAACACTGAACCGACCTCGGCCTCGGGATCGCCTGTGGCCACGTTCCACCACAATGTGCTAAAGACATACTCAGCCGTTAGTCCGAAAATGAACCCTGTTAGTGTTGATGCAACAGGACCGGCAAGGATTAATAATCGTGACATGCGCTGGGAGAAGTAATACGCTGCAACAGAATAGATAAGCACAAACGTCTTTGCTGGGGTTTCCCTCATCACGCAATTCAGTAACAATAATGCAAAACCCAAAATCCAGCCGGTTTCACAAATTCGTAGGAATGATTGGAACGTCTCACGGGATGTGGCTTGATGTTCTGCGACAGAATCGACGAGGGGATTGCCTGTGTAGGTGTGCTTCAGAAACAGGGCCCTCACTCTGTGTGAGAATGATTGGAAGTACCCTAAAGGCAACAACAGTGCCGCTGCCAGTACCAATCCAAACGCTGTCATTGAGAGCGCGCGGATGCGAATACGAAGGCACTTGCGCGACCGAATGTTGTTGACGTCAGCACGTTTGCGAAGGGCTTCTGACATGTGCAGTGTCCACAGAAAAACGAATACCAACAACGCAGAGAGTTGCTCCAAGGACTTGAACGGTGACATTCCTACGGGTGGCACACGCGTCGCGATGGTGGTCCCCACGATAAAGAACAATGAATAGGAATACAGCAGCGAGGGATTGTACCTATTGAGAGCCCAGTCCAGCAGGGCTGACAGCCCTGCGTGCAGTGCAATCATATTGAGTGTGAATACGTGTCCTCCCCACGCCGCCACCATGTAGCCATACGCCAATCCTGTCACCAGCCCCACTGGCCACGACCGCGCGTTGCGCAGCGATCGGATCCACAAGTAGAAACACAACAACATAGCCGCCACGGCGATACACTCATTGTCGAATTCACCCGCCATGGACCGCATTGTGTGCGCTGGAACCATGGAGAAGGTGTATGCCGCCACCGCCACCGCCAGGAGGGAACCGGATATTTCATATGTGATCAGCGCGTTCAAGAGTGTTGCCACCACGCCAAACCACGCTGGGATGTACACGCAGACTGCGTTGATGGACATGTGGATACCCACCGCATTCAGCACACGGTGGATCGCCACCGCAGTGATCTGCATGCCTGGATAGATCGTAGAGCCGACCGGGCGGCCAAGGGGGTACCAACTCATGTAGTCAAACCACTGAAAAAAGGAAGACCAGCCGTGCGTGCTAAGGTACTCCGCCGCACGGTAGTTGAACCACGGGTCGAATTCGTGGATAAGCTCGCCGTACATCTTCGCATTTAAGACACGTATTGCGTAGGCGTAGTACAAGGCATATATTATGGCAACAAAAACTATAGATTTTAGAAAAAAAAAGAGACCTGTGCTGAATGTAAAACGTCCCAAAAACTTCTCGCAGTTTGTTAGATTGCGCGATATGCCGTTTAATGACAACTTCGTTTTACTCATTTTGCTTTTTTTGTTCAACAATACTTTTTAATAATAAAAAATAATGAATGAAAAATTAACTTGTTCTTCCACAAAAAATATAATTATTAAGCAATCTTTTTCGCTTTTGTTATTTTAAATACTCAAATACACGAAATAGATGTATGAAGAGAAAAGGTGTAATTTGGTTAAGACACCACACAGCATTAAAAGACAATAAACAAATTCGTCTTTGTTTTAGGACGAGTAATATGCTCTAAGTGAAAACTTTGAGAACATTGAATATTTTCTTCACACGAATAAAAGAGTTATGGTAATTTCAGTATTTAAGGAACAATAAAAACAAATTAAAGACCTGAGAGACGGATACCAGACTCCAATTCTGTCACCAGCCCCACTGGCCACGACCGCGCGTTGCGCAGCGATCGGATCCACAAGTGGAAACACAACAACATAGCCGCCACGGCGATACACTCATTGTCGAATTCACCCGCCATGGACCGCATTGTGTGCGCTGGAACCATGGAGAAGGTGTATGCCGCCACCGCCACCGCCAGGAGGGAACCGGATATTTCATATGTGATCAGCGCGTTCAAGAGTGTTGCCACCACGCCAAACCACGCTGGGATGTACACGCAGACTGCGTTGATGGACATATGGATACCAAAGAATTCAATCACGATTCGTTATGTTTTTGAATATTTTTTAAATGTCGATTCATTCTTAATGCTTCTTTGGGATTTTTTTCTGAAGAAATATACAATCTAATTTTTCATTTATTTGTCTTTGAATGATCAACTACCTTGCAGTGATTTTTATGTTTTGAAGACATATTAGTGTGTGTGTATTGAGAAAGAGGAATGAACATTGTAATGAGACCTTGAAGTAAGGAGAAGAACACTGATAAAGAGCTTTGTCAGTTAAGCTTCAGATTTATTACATTTAAGTTCTATATTTTATCCTATCAGTCTTAATGATTTACACATATATGGATTTTTTATAATATATAAATGCGATAAAATAATATCAAGAAAGAAATTCAGAAAATGCGTGAATACTCGACAGGACTTTAACCACCGTTCTTAAGGGATAATACAAAAGTACTCGCAATTTTTTTTTCCCAAGTAGATGTTGAATAGGTAACCTATTATTATTTTAGCTTCCTATTTCCACTGATTCTTTCAATTCACTTTTTTTTTTGATGGTTTTAGGGGCAAAATAGGGTACTTTTTATGCGATAGAAGGAAAATTGAGGAATGGGAAAAAAAAAATAAAGACCTCACTGATGTGGTACTCTCATTAATTTAGATTCAGAACTTTCTCCGTTTAAATAAGTTAGAGTTCGTTGATCTGTTGACGACTATTGAGAAAGGAAGGGAAGGTAAGATATTTTCCATTTTTATGATTTGCCGTTCACACTGGAACAGTATTACTTATTCATGAGAATTATCCATCTTACAACTATGGCAAAATTAAGAAACACCAGAGTGTCAAGAATCTGATCAATGGGTATACAAAATATGAATATCATACCACCACATCTACATTTTATTACTATTTACCATCATCACTTTTTAGACTGATTATTTTGGAAGCACTTTGAGATAAAGCCATGAGGAAAATCCACACATTTTCTAAAATACTTTTCAGATTGTAATTATATCAACTTTTCACCTATGATTTGGAATATCAAAAGCACACATACTAAAGTGGATGCATATTTTATACTTTTTTTTTTAAGAGTAATCCTTCAATAGTGTTTTCTCAAGGATTAACTTGTAGACATCTTGTGATGACGGGGCTTTACCTTCTAGAAGTTTTGAGTATACCAGTTCATCATTAACGTGCACCTCAAATGCTCCATTTTGCATGAGGGAATTACCGAACAAGTTTAGCATAATGCCAAACACAATGATCAAAGAACGTTTATTTAGAAGGAATTCATGCACTCGGGCCGGGAAAAAACTTCTTAAGTATTGACCAAAACTGCCAATAATAAAGGATGTGAAAAATAGAATTGTGCACAATTTGCCAATAAGGGCGCGAACGTAGGGAATGGGGTAGTTAATGCCTGAAATACGCACATCTTGGATGTTGGGGAGACTCGCTTCCAAGTCCTTTTTAATGTTCTCAAAGTGCTTGGCATAACCACATCCTATACAGTACTGCATAACAACTTTGTGCGGCAGGTGATTGTTAGGGAAGTACTTTACAGTGGCATCTTTGTTGGCTTTTTCATTTCCATTGTCTTCCTTCACCTTGTCAGCGTTCTCCCCTGTGGGTTGAATTCTTTTAGCGTAAGTATTTCCCCTCGACAAGGGACCCTTAGCCGCATTACGTTTCGCCATGGCTTCTGCGACTCGACGCTGAAATTCATCTTCACCCTGCTCAGTTAGTTCAATTTCTTTTACAAGTTCAATAAGGTCGTCTTTGGTTTCTTTATTGGTGAACTGCGCACGACCTTTGGTTTTGTCGAATATGAGTTTCTTGAGGTCTGATTTCGTCAGCATCTTGAGGTGGCTATGTGGGTCCTCGACTTTAGCATTTCCGCTTACAACCCCATGATCTAACATGACGGAGATTAAGAGAAGTGCGACCAGTAGCAGCACGCTAAGCTTTTTTAGGTGAAAAGTCTGCATTCGGCTTCAATTGGTGCCTTTTGGATAGAACTTTCAGCTGTGGTTGTCACGTTTGGAGTACAAGGAAGTCCCAATAGCTCTAAATAATCTATTTATTATTATTATGATTATTATTATCCGTATGTGTCTCAGAGAGGAAAAACAACACGAAAATGATGTCTTGATTTTTTTTGTATTTATTTGTAATCCTTTTTTTCCCGACTTGCACTTTGATCAGGTTAGTAAATATTATATCTTGAACGACACCACTAATAAATAGGGGAAGGAAAAAATGAGAAGATCGTATCAAAAGGAGGAAAAGCGATGATTTAAACGTGGTTTTAGTAGGAAAAATTAAGACAAAAGCACAATATTTAGCCACTGTTTATGACAGACTCGCCGAAGTGTTGTTGCGCCATCAATCTTACACAGTACGCATATTCCCTCACTTACATGGACCATCTGATCCGAAAAAGTATCTAATAATAATAATAAAGGGATCTATTTCTTGTCTTGAGTGCATTTTTAATCAGTCATATCACGAATTGAACATATTTAGATAGATACACAAATCCAACCCTACTGTATACGCTCGTATCATGTAGGTTGTGAGAAAGGAAAACATCAAATCAAGAACCTGTTCATTTTTTAAATAGTATCCTGATGACGTTGTGTTCACATCGATGGATAAATATATTTATATTGATATATAGAATATAAAAGGAAATTCACCGAACCCGAAAAAGGTTCCGCATCATTTACTTATTTCTTGTAGGCCCTGGTAGGGTAAGCCACGGTGATCTTTTGGAGTTCACACCTATGCGTATGCCGCAGGGTGGAATAGGGAGTTCAAGCTACACTTTAAAACCTTCACTGCGTGTATCTACAACTTCCATCCCCTTTTTTCCCTTGAATATTTTAACACCATAAGCATTGTTATGCATATGTTGTATGAGACAAGAGGCATCCTAATTGAAACCCTGGGACCGTGAAAGGATTACGAAGGTATTTTCTATTTTAACTATTGACACCTACCCCACATCCCTTCCCTTACTCTATCATCAGTTCGAGATACCCTGTCGATGTGTCGGATCGCGTTCCGTATCCGAAACACACACCAAAGGTCGTTCATCGATAAAGTGGAAAAAATCCCGCGTCCGTGAGATCCACCCCGCCATCTTTTGTCGGGTTGTTTGCGAGGCTGGGATTTGTGAAAGCCCGCTTCCACTCAGAAGCCCCCCCACGACGTGGGGGGAATCGATTGCCCTGGATCTTTTAAATTGCCGCGCGCGCTCGTGATCCTCCTCCGCGAGGTACGCCGCTTCCTGTGTGAGGCTGACGGGCTGATTTTCCCTCTCGGAGGGGCTTTGCCCCCTCACGAGCCCCCCAATTTCACTTTCGCTGTCGTTTTCGATGTCATCGGGGCCGAGACCGAGCCAAAGCGGGGTTCGTGGGCTGGGCGGTGCGCAGCCATGGCGAAGACGAACCGCGCGGGTTTGGGTTGGGGGGTTCGCCCGCAAAATGGCCCACACAGCGGGGTCTTCTTCGCGGCGGATGGTCTGCGGGGGTTCCGTTGTGGGCCCGGAGGCCCCACTTTGCCAGTTAAAAAGCTGCGAGGCCGGGGTTTGGGGGGAAGAGCCCCCGCCCGAGCGGCGAACACGCTGGGCGCGGGGAGTGGGGGTGGCCGCCGTTTCCCCCCGCGAGGGTGTCCCCGCGGCGATCCAAAGCTCCCCCGGGCCGTCAAGGCCCCCCGCCCCTCCCCCGCCGCGGAGGCGCCGGCGCGGGGCGCGGGTAAGGACCAGGCCGTCGACCTCCTCTTCGCCCTCCCCTGGGCTCCAC